TATATTCGATGTTATTTTTAATCAATGTAGCAATTCCACCCTGGCCAACAAGTCTGTCCTTTCTCATTACATTGTACTGATTCAGCTTAAATGAATGTTATTTTTTAAACCAAGTTTCGTTTAGTGTAATTATATCTATATCAAATATGTACTCATAGTATTAATATTTTTAAATTATAAATATTTGAAAATTAACTTCTGATATTCCATTGTAGGATTTTCATAAATGAAATCAAAGGGAGTTAAAACTTATCATTCTCCATATATATTCAGGGATCATTTCTTTTTGTTATATCTTTCAAGTAGTTGTGAGCTAGCTGAAGGTCTGTTACCTTCAGGTTACCTATGATGGTAAATAGTGAATTTCTCATAATATCTTCGGTCACGGAAGAGGGAAAAATTTTGTAATGGCCCTCCACTAATTATCGTTGATTGGGGAAACAGGCATTGCTAACTTGCTTCTATATCATATCCTTTCATTGGGGTAACTGTTGATTTCCTTTTTTTTCGCGACTGAAAATCTACTGCTATAGTTTTGTTTTCTAAAATTTGTTTTCTCTTGGTTTCCTGGAAGATCTGTCTATTTTGGTTTATTAGTGGAGTAAAATTAGGGATTTGACTCGTATTGGTCGGAAGAGGGGGAAATTCACTTTGTTATGTTAGGAATTTGCTATTTTCATTAACCCTAGGTACCAATTCACTTGCCTGAAAGAAAGACATGTTATCCAATGACATATATTGCCTGATTTGTGCCTGACGTAAGTATTCGGGGCAACTTTTATTTATTAATGTATGTATGCTCTGAGCTATCGCAATTGACACAAGAAATAAGATTTCCATTACAGGTATGGTTTTCTTCATTCTTACAATTACAGGTACATTGAACTTCATGAGCCAACTTACCACATTTTTGACATTTTTCTTTTTCATGACACTGTCTTTTATTGTGACCATAGTTTAGGCACGTTTAGGTAATATATGTATAATTTTCAACTCCAGTCTCCAGTCCAAAGATGATGACTGATCGTGGAAGAAACTTTCCCTTAAATGTAATCAAACAGGTCCCAGTGTTTGCATATTCAACTTCGTTGTTGTCGTTCCTGATTCTTCGATTGAATCTTTTAACTTCCAATATTTCTGATGAGCCTTCGGAATTTTTAATAATATCTTCCATATCAGCTTCCTTCAATATTCCCCTCACTAGACCTTTACACTTTACTAGATACTCTGGAATATGAACAATATAGTCCTTACTAAGTAGTTCTTTATTCTGTAGTAGATTATTAGCAGATTCTGGGGTTTTAATCTCAATAATAATTTTATTCTTTCGTTTTTTCATAGAGGCCGCTTACATTTTCTAGTTTTAAATCATATATTAATTTGGCAATTGCCATAGGGTGTAATTGACCCACATTTTTCCCGGATATACCCTGTACTACCACCTGGAATGGACTAGAGAGACTATCATATTTATGTATAATTTTATTTTTAATTTGTTCAGCCTCAGGATTCTGTGGGGAATTGTGAATATTATTTAAATTAATGCCAGGATCCGGAGGCCCTAATGGGCCCCCAGAGTTATCACACATGCTTACTCTTCAACCTAACCTATATTTGTTTCCCAGGAAAAAACGAGCAAATAACGGAAATTTTTACCTTGGTTTATTCCTGAAATCCTAGTCAACAGAGGAAATGTTAGTAGATACTTTTACTTGGGAAAATCGCTTTTTCGCTGGACTACGCTGTCGTTGACGCGGAGGTCAAGCCAAAAAAAAGTTAATATTTCTTCTGATGGATGTCTGTCTTTCATAATTGCCATTAGGGCTCTTGCTGAAACATCCTATCAGTCGTTCCCAGCATCCACCCATGTGTGGGGAAGATTGAACTTCCATTTGATGCCAAGATTTGTTAGGGTGCATTTTGCAAATGCTTCTTGCAGTTCCCGACTAGCTCCTCGCAAGTTTGTCCCATTGTCAGACCATAGAAGTTTAACCTGTCCACGTCTTGCCAAAAATCTTCTAATCGCCATGATACAGGAATTTGTGTTTAGTGAATGTGCAATTTCGACATGGACAGCTCTACTGGTGAGGCATGTGAAGAGAACACCATAAGGTTTGTCCGTTTTTCGTCCTATTTTAACTATTAAAGGGCCAAAGTAGTTTAAACCAGTTGCTGTAAATGGCTTCTCATTTTGAAATAACCGTTCTTCTGGTGAAAAACCCATCCTTGGAGTAACTTGTGTGGCATTTTTTCGTTTGCAATTAGGTCATTCCTTTAGTAACTTTTTCACTTGATATCTAATGTGTGGTACCTATCCAGAAGTCTTGTCTTAACTCATTTATAACAGTTTCTATGCCATAATGAGCGTTTTTGATGTGGTAATGTAAGATCATTATCTTAGTATAAGAGTGATTTCCATCTAAAATAACTAAACTATCTGTTATAATTTCAATTATTTTGTTTCTTGGAATTCTAGTATCAATTCTTATTATATTATATATCCAAAATTATTGAAAACTTATTTAGACTACAATTTTTGTTCAGAATTTTGTTGTGTAGATTTTTCAAATCGATTGAACAAGAATCTTTCTGTACTGCTTTCCACCATTGTTGTTCTCTCCACTTTAAATATTCTGCAATCACATAACTTTTATATTCTTTATGTTTTCGCAGTTTCAGGTAGCATTGTCGCATTCTTGCTGATGTTATTCGTAGTAATTTAATCCAGGTGTGAGTAGTTTTTATTTTAGGCAGATCATCGGAGATGTTACATTCATTTTTAGTTTTTACAATTTGAATAATTTTTTCTATTGTTTCTTCATAATTTGGTATTTAAATTTTGGGCCAGCTAGTTTCTTGGGAATGTAGGAAATTTAGTCCTGTAAACCAGCAATCATTTGGAGTCAAAGTATTTTTTGAGGTAGCTACTCCTTGTGCAAACATCAGCAACATTGTCGTTAGTAGACACCCATCTCCATTGTTCCAAATTTGAACTTTCCAAAATTTCACCATCTCTTACAGCAACGAATGTTTGGAGCTTTTTCTCAGTTTATAGCCATTGCAGAACAGGTTTTGAATCAGACCAATAATATTTTCTTTGGAAGTCAAACTGTAGATGCTTTACTACTTCTTGAGATAGTCTTACTCCCATTACTGCTGCCATTAGTTCTAGTTTTGCTATGGTTAAAGTCTTTAGTGGAGCCACTCGAGTTTTAGATGCAACAAGAACAATCTTAACTTGATTCTATTCCTTAAATAAAATTCTCAGGTAAACTGCTGCTACATATGCCGCTTCACTTGCATCGACAAATGTGTGCAATTCAGCAGTTTTTGTTTCTAAAATTTTAATAGAATACCATCGAGGAATTTCAGTTTCCATAACTTCGTGCAATTCTTTCAGCCAGTTGCACCATTTTGAATGAATATTTAGAGTTATAAAATCATCCCAACCTATTCCAGCTCGCCAAATCACTTGAAGAATTATTCGTGATTTAATAGTAGTTATGGGAGAAATTAAACCAAGAGGATCATAGACGGACATTGCTGTTTTCAGTATTTCTCGTTTTGTTGGAATCTTTGAACCATTCAAAATATTTGTTGAGATTTTATGCAGTTTATAACAAAATGTGTCCTTTTCAGAATTCCAAATCATGCCAAGGATTTTTTTTTCTTGAGGATTAATACTTATTTCGGTATCTGGTTTTTTTGCCAACAAATCTTCTGGAATTCCTTTTAAAATGTGTTTAGAGTTGGACACCAAATGTTTAATTTCAAACCCTCCTTGAAGGTGTACATAGCATCATTGATTAGTTTGATGGCTTCTTCTTCAGTGTCTGTTGATTCTAGATAGTTATCGACATAATGATTATTAAGGATAGAATTGACTGCTTCTGGATATTTTTCTGCTTAGTTTTCAGCATTATAGTTTTCAACGAATTATACTAGGAAAGATGATAATGTTTTTCCAAAAATCATCGCTACCATATGATAGGTTCTAATTGGGCCACAAAAAACATCCAGAATATGTATCTTTTTCAGAAATTCTGACTATGTTAAACATCTCTTTTATATCGTCTGCAAATGCTATTTTATGAAATCTAAATTTCAATAATATTCCGAAGAGTGAAAATAACAAATCTGGACCAGTAAGTAAGAAGTCATTTGAAAAATATCCATGAGTTTTGGCTGCTGCATCAAAAACTAAACGGACTTTTCCTTTATTTGGGTTGCAAACTGGAAAATGAGAAAAATACCATAATTTTTCAGCTTTGGCTAATTGATTGTCGCTTATAGGTACCGCATAACCTTCTTCTAACAACTTCTCTACTTCAATTTGATAAGCCTTTGCCAGATTTTTATCCTGAAAATTGTAGTTCTTATTACTGTTTTTACTGGAAATTTCAGCCCGCACACTTTGTGAATTTTCATCCCACCTAAAAATATCACCTGTCCATTTACAGCAAAGAGGTGATACAGGTCATTCTGAACCCATTTTTGTGGCTGTTGTAGCATCAATCAAGGTAGCTGTACTTCCTTCAACAAGTAAAGCTGTTACATCCTTTTTCTGTTCGAATTTTAACTGGAATAATTTTCAACAAGGTGCTACTTACAGGTGATCTCAAACTTTGTTAAAGAGAATGGTTTATTTGAAGAGAGATTTTTTGATACACGCAGAACAACACCTTTTTTATTGATGAAAAACAGGTTAACAATGAATAGGTAAAATTAATAAATTAATTAATATTTGATATTTTTTCTTCATTTTCTTAACAAGTACCTACTGATGACGGCGAAAGCCGAAAGTGTTTTTCTACGCAAAGTTTCAATAATTTGAATTATGCATCCATAGAATACAAATTGTTTCCTTCCTTATTATTCTAAACACATGCAAGCAGCCACCTTTCCTTGGTATTTATTTAAACACAGAATTAATTTGATTTGCTTTACTTGATTTTAATTCGCGTTCCATTCCGTCTTAACATCAACTAGTTGATTCTTACCTCACTGACAGGAAGACGAGGTGTAATGGAAGAATTGCTCCCGGCTCTGTTGGGTGGGAAATATTCGAAGTTCTTGTAGCAACCGGTACCAGTTTGAGTGGGTGGGTTCGAATCACCTTCGGTACTGTTGCCATCGGCGTGCGAAATATTGTGACCTAGGCGATATCGTAAAATTGCTCTAAAATTGTATTAGGTGCACTGATCAACTCCTGTTGTGCCAAATTTTGTTACAATCGTACAGAAAACCATGGTTCTCGGTAAGGTTGGAACAAACGTTTTAATTTTGTATGTGTGTTGTTTTTTAATGTTTTCAATAAATTTGATAATAATAATATTCACTTTTTTGCAGATATCGTCTAAGTCAAAAGCCATCGAAATAAAATTCATTTATAGTTTTTTTTTTGCAACATTTATTTATTAATTTTTATATTTAAAACAATGTATTTAACGGTAATAATATCGAGTGGTTCGGTTATTTATTTATAAAATACAATTAAAAAAATCGAATCATATTTTATTAAAAATGTGTTCGATTTATATTAGTTTAATGAGGAATCTAAATAAAATTTTGCAAACAATATTTGTAAAATCTTATCTAAAATCCGGGACAGCAGTCTCTTTTAAATTAAAATATAAGCCTTTATTTACAGTGAATATGTACAAGAAAATAATTATTTGCAACTTTTAAAGCTATAACAATTCTGGCCAAGTGTTTGAGGAGGGAGGTTCAGAAGTTCACGGACGGACGGACGGAGGTTTGGTCCCTGATTACAAATGCTTTTCGGACCCCTCGTTTCCGCCTATGAGGGCGCATTTTTCACCTGAAGAAAAACACAGTGTAAGACAACATAATAGAGCTGATGGCTTAACTTTTTTTAGTTTCACGCAAAACAAGCATTATGTTAGGGTGACAATGAAGCATATACAGTGTTGGCCAAAATATATACATTTGAAGTCTAAATATTAAGGGAAGAAAAAATCGTCTCAAAAGTCCTCATCAGGGTCACGCTTGTTAATGTTTGTTTCAACTGTGAGAATTTTTTTTATAGAAAGAGTTGTATAAATACATCTTCTCTATGGGCATAACTAGGTATACGAGTCTTGAGGCAAACTTGCTTTTTCTGGGTGCTCCTAAATTCTACAGAGTGATAGCGGTAGCGAATTCTTAAATAAAATTATAACTGCACATATTATTATGTTTGGATTCAACAATAGAAAAAAATACTTCAGTTTGTATAATGGCGAAATCTTACAGCAACATCCCCTTAGCGCTCTTAAAAATATTGACAACGAAAGAAGAGTGCTATATCAAGGAGAAGAAGCACTTTTAAACATGGACAATTTAATCTTGTTTAGAAATGCCAGAGAAATAAAACGTCAACTGATATCAATAATCAATGTGTGAGAATTGTATATACTTAGTTGAAGTTGTGCCAGGAAACAGATTTCCAAACGAAGTTAGAAGTAAAACTGGAGAAGCAGCTAAGAAAACGTTAGGCAAGATTGTCGGCTTTGAATCTTTGAAACTTCCCAAAATTGGGTTGGTGATAAGCACAGGATGCTTTGGTGTCCATTTGAAAAATAATATGAAAAATATTCGAATTCCAGATTTACTCAATTGCTGGATTCTGGAAGAGGTATATATTATCTTCACTTAAAAATTTTTGGACATAGATTTGATATATTATACTATATATCAGCGATTGGTGTACAACTGTCTTACTTTCCATAGGTCCCAGTTCCATCAGTCTCATTTTCCCAGCTTCTTAGTGGTTAACCGCGCTTTCTGCGCTCTGGTGGGATCCAAACCCAAACTTCTTTTAGCCACCGGCTCTTGTCTATTCTTTCGAGATGGCCATGTGAGTCTTTTGGATTTAATTGTGTCTATGATAGTTCAATCTACTTCCATCGATCATCTTATTTCTTCATTTCTAATATGATCTCTTCTGGATGTTTTGCTGCTTCTTCTCCAGTAATCCCATTTCCACACCCAAGAGCTCTTTCCTGTTTCTTTTTGTTATTTTGTTGATCCATAATAAAGAATTATATTGGGAAATAACTCTTCGCCCTTGACCAACTTTATTCGAGATGTCTAAGGCGCTTTTAACATTGGAAGAAAGAGTGACACTAAGATATTTGTGTAACAAAACGGCCCTAAAAGTCCTTTTTTTCGCTTCGTAATAAAATTAATTATTTTTTTTCCAGCGAGATTCAGTCGCTAAATTTCTGACGAAACCGTGTCAAGAGCTAAGGGTTATCAGTCGGATCCCGAAACAGTGTCCTGATTGTGTCTTAAAATACCACTCTCGACTCCTGGTTCCATGAACAAACCGCATATTTTGCGACCGATAAGAATCCCAAAAGCGTCATCAAGCTGCCAATATAAATAAGCCTGTGAATCTCCTAGATTCATTCAGTTCTGTAACGAAGTTCTGGTGTTTAGGTTGACGTCTTTCTGCTGACTCTCTTTCCGAGACCTTAGGTAATGTTCCAATTTCAAGTATTTAATTTATTCATCATGATTGTTATTTTCTGTCTATCATTTATTTTCTCCCCTGTGTAGAGAACAAAACCATTGGGTTAGCTTCACAACTCAAATCTCTTTTCCAACATGTATCTTACCCTGAATAACAAGGCCGTTTTCTCATTCCCTTGTCGAGGACGCCCGTGACTTTTACCCACTAAGAATTATAACCCAGTCTTTATTTTTTGTATCTTTTAATCCTTAAATTCTCATGTAACTTGTACTATCAAGGAATGCCCTATACAGGACGCTCATTCATTGGTTTCACTCTCTACCATTCCAAATTTCCATATGTATTTTCTTTCATTTCATTTCAGTAAACATTGGTAATAGCTTACTGTTTATTCTTTACTATTCTTTCATTTCCTTACCAAGATTTATCATTTGTTCAATAAACCAAACCATTGTTAGAGTTTAGTAAGAAAAACTGATTATTTTATCTCCTTTAAAAAACCTCGAGCTAGCATTCCAACTAACTGCGTACAGCTCAGGTAGCAAGAACCGGCACTAGAAGAGGCAATCTAATCAGATTACGAAAAAGTATCCGATCAAAGTTACTTAGATTTTCAGTGGGACTTTAAACAAAGTCCCTGGTGGCACGCTACCGCAGTACAAAAAGGCCTTTACCAGTGCTCCCTTACCCAACCGTCGCAACCAGGTGGCGGTGGTAACATTTGAACGAAGGGTAGTTTTCCACCACACTAAATGTCCTAGATCTAATTGCCAACTGCCATAATATACTCCGTTTTATTCATATTTATATCCAAGCTCCAGTCAAATGATTTGCATGGAAAAATGGGGCTTCTCGAAAGAAACTGGTTCCTCGAAAGAAACGGGCGCCTTGAACGACCCACGAGGGGGTTCGAAATTCAAACTAACTAAATAAAACGGTAATCAAAATACTTTCGATATTCAACTTTTCGGTAATTAATGGATTATTGCCTTACGCAATTTTATTTCGTCAAACTAGTGCCTGATGGCCGATAAGGTACTTTTTTCCACGAGAACGGTATAATCACATTTGACTTAGGAAGATGGCTGCCACCCAGGCCAGGATCGAAATTCAAAATTTAAAAGGGACGAAAAATAGGACAAGCTGAGGAAGCAGCTTCTCTTCGAAAAATGGCCTACGGAAAGTGTTGAAATTTGAAGGAAAAGCGTGGCCTCTAGGTTAATAATTGCTATCATTATTGGCGGCAAAAACTTTCTTTCAATAATGGCAGTCACCAGACGGACAGTATTCAAGGCGACAATTTAGTTAATTAGAAAATATGTTCCCATATATGAAAAAAAAAGACATTTAGCATGTTATAGTAAGTCCCCAGTTCTCATATTCTTGTTGGAGTTTTCGCAGCATGTAACTCGAGTCATCTTTATCTCTATCCATAAGTACTTGATGGTCATCAGCAAAAAGGGGAGTGAAAAGTATGTCCTCTCTTATGGGTAAGCTTACATTTCCTCGTCCAAGATTTTAAGGCACCATCAATATAAATTTTAATAAGCAGTGGAGCAAGGAAGCAAGGGAGCAGCCTTGCCTTAGACCTTTTGTTGATGGAAAGTTGTCGATTTCATTTGACTAAGCTATATGTATTGGTATACAGAGCTTTGACAGCATTTACATATGAGTTGCTTATCCCATTTAGATGCGTTGCTGACCAGTACCAGTGTCATAGGCTTTCTGTAAGTCCACAAAGGTCAGGTGAACTAGTCCCCCTCTTTCTACTCTTTCTTCAATAAGATTTTCAAAAGTAAGCACTCCATCATATAAAAACGTTCCGCCTTGAAACCATTTTGTTCCGTTGATTTTTGGAACTCGATTTCTTTTCTGTTTTTTCAGAATACGTCCATATAAACTGGCTACTGAGCTTGTGACGTTGATTCCTCTATAGTTTTTACAGCCAATCTGTTCTCATTTTTGAAGATCGATTAGTTTAACCCTTTCCCTCCAGTCTAGTGACGGTTGTTCTCTTCGAAGACATTTGGTAAAGATCTTCGTAAGGATATCCATAGTTTTACTGGGCGGCTTTTAAAAGTTGGATATTTAGACTTTCAGGCCCAGAATACTTTTCATATGAATGCATTCTGTACTTCCCCTGGTGATATTTCTGAATTCTGGGACCTGGCACACCTGATCGTCAATGGTACTAGCTACTACAAGGAAACCGACAAAGCAGAAATTTCCGCTGATTACTTTGAGACTGTTTTCAACGAAACATCGAATACAACAAATATACACAATTACATAACGAACACGGCGGTCGCCTTTGCCAGGCAAAAATATCCTATCCCACCTACGGTGCTGCAAGGGATTCTAGTAACACCACAAGAGTTGAAAACAAAAATCAAAAAACTACCTAACAAAAAGAGCCCAGGACCCGACACTATTGGAAACAATCTAATTAAACACCATGGAAAACTATTATGCAGCTTGTATACATAATAAACGCAGTAATAACTCTGCATCATTTCCCATTAGCATGAAAACAAGCTCACATAATCAAAACCAGAAAAAGACCTTACTCTACCACAATCTTACAGACCCATATCTTTACTAAACTCACTAGGGAAAGTTGCTAAACGAATACTTTTGGACAGAATTACGCGGACAATTGACACCCTTAACTGCCTCCCACCGGAGCAGTTTGGGTTTTGACAAAAACACAACACGACCCTAGCAGTAGCGAAGGTGGCTCAAGATGCCTCAATCTCCTTCAATAACCAAGAAAGCACCTTCCTGCTGCTACTGGACATCGAGAAGGCCTTCGATAAGGTATGGCACAATGGCCTAATCTACAAATTAATGACCAAGCACAATTTTTCACTATACTTTACATCGCTCATTGTGTCATACCTTAGCAACAGGACCTTCAAAATCAAAACAGAACATGCACACTCACAAACCAAGGGAATTAGAGCGGGAGTACCTTAGGGCACGGTACTATCCCCAACTCTATTCAACTTATACATTGTAGACATACCGAAAACTTACAACACTGACATAATGATGTACGCAGACGACACGGCTATCTACACTAGTGCCTTTCTCGCAGAAGACGCGAGACGGACTCTGGTGGACCATCTCAGCCTAATGATCTCCTACCTGCGAGACTGGAAAATCACTCTGAACTCTTCGAACACAGAACTTTTAACATTAACCAGAAAACGGAAAAACATCACAATTGAACCACCCTTAACTATCAACAACGTAGAAATACAGAACAAAACAACAGTGAAATACCTGGGGGTGGTCCTTGACAAGCGCCTTTATGGCCACCTTCAGGTGGCAAACACCTTACGCAAGACGTACGGGGCTGAACGACTTCTGGCACCTATCATGAAACCACACTCCTACCTTAGCCCCAGAAACCGCATACATATTTACAAACCATCATACGACCAACCTTACTCTACGCTGCCCCCGCCTGGAACTATTACGACCATCCACGGACCTTCACTGACCAGAGACCTGGCCACCTTCAGACACAACCCCCAAAACCCAGTAATGCATCGGCCTATACACCACCGACTGCCAATCTACTACCAGACACCCTGACCAGGATAGCAGAAAATGCGAAAACAGAGCGAAACAGTAAAATAGCGCAAGGTTGTGCGAAAACTAATTTCGCACATTCCTGAGCAACCAACCCTCTGATATCAGCAAACATGCATCGAAATTAAACCGGGCCAGCTCACCAAACCTTAAATGCTTTCTGCTGTCCTGCCACAAGCACTACGCGACTGACGATACTTTTCACACAAACTAGAAGAAGGGTTTTTATAACTGATTTTCCCTTCAACAAATCACGGTAACTACGGAATTACATTACGGACTATAATTTGATATAACCGCTTTTAAGTTGGAACTGGAATTAGCCTATAAGAATCCCAAAAAGCCTCAGTAAAGCTCTAGCAAAATCCTGGTTGCCACTATCACGCCTGCTTATGAATAAATTTGTTAGTCTATTTAAGTAATAAGTAGGTTAAGGTAGTTTTGAGATTATGATGTAAATATTGTAAATAAATGACTATTCTGATTCTGATTTTGATGAATTCTGGGGACCAGGCGTTTATCTCATCGTTTTCAATTTCATCTTCCATCAGTTCGAAATTGTGGTCTTGGTCTATCTTCTGTTAGTAGATCTCTGTAGTAGTTTACTATGAATTTTGATGTATTAGATATTGAAGAAATTAGAGAAAGTAATGAATTTGAAACTTATTTTCAGATATCGGGATCTATGGTCCATTTCCATCAGTAAGCTCGCAAAACTTGTTGAATCTAAATTTCAGGCAATTGCGCTCATAAAATCATCATGTAAACCCATCCATCTAAATATACTTAGATTTAATAGCGGGGCAAATAAGTAAAAAACGCGCTTTTAACTCTATCCTCTATGTTTCCCTAGCGCAAAAACGTATATACATAAAAGCAGGATGAAACAATTTTTGTAGAATATTTCTCAATACACGAAGATAATACCTAACCTCATTTTTGCGATCTAGGTGAGGGTCCCCCCTTATCAAAATCACCTGATGTGGACTTTCAAGACGTTATTTGTAGGTAATGCCAAAATAAACGTTTGCATTATAGATATTTACGCCACTTCATATTTTCATATAAGCGGTGCTTAAAAAAATCAACTTTGGCTTTTGATTAGAGTTACCATTATTATATAATTTTAAATGTTGAAGAAAAGACCCCGCACACTACTTATGAGATTTTAGGATTCGGTTAATTTTTCTGAAAATTTGATATGATCATAGGATCAAATTGTGCCTATGAACACTTTTAATCTTAATGTTAAGAATAGAATCATATCAAATTTTCTAAAAAATTGACTGAGTTCCAAAATCTCCTAAGAAGTGTGCAGGTTCCTTTAAAAAGAAATATCTCAGTACCGTAATGTCATAACTAGGCGGTCACTCTGAAAGTTTTCTTGAGTTACTTCAAACTCCAAAAACGGAAATAACATTAAGTAAGCCTTCAATCACAATCAAGGTTTTTATGCCATTATAAGCATCACTGGTAACTGAAATCTGAAGCCAAAATGCATCACTCGGTTTTTGCAAGCATCCAAAATTAATAATATTTTAGTATTGTTATTAATAATCAGATTCAATTGACAAAAATGTTAAGCTTATTTATAAAAATGCCAAGTAGCAGATTATAGAAATATAGTCTCTAATTTAAATTACAAAGTGTTAAATTCAATTTCCTTTAGTTTTTCATAATAAACAAGGCTACGACCTGCAACTTATTGCAGCGAAAATGCAGATTCGCTTGCTTTAATTGGAATATATATTTTTTTAAATCTTAGCTTTGTCTCTGTCCATAATCTACTACTTTAGTGAGACCCTGTTTCAAAAATGTCATATTACGATATCTGCAAAATGGAATACTTTATTATTGTTTTGAAAGCATTTTTAGTATAGTGTAATAATGATGTTAAAAAGCGAAAAGTATTAGTAGTAAATGTTTTAGTTATTATTACCCACCTGTATCCACGATGACATCAATAAGGTCCATACTCTTCGCGAACGCATCCCTCAAGTTGATATGATGAAACGAAACGATGCTGCCCTCTCTTTTCGCCCGTTCCAGCGCTTCTCTCCTCTTCAGCGCCTTCTCTCTTCTCATCTGATTCTTATAAAACTCGGCAAAATTGTTAACAATTATAGGAATGGGTAACGCAATCACCAGCACGCCGCAAATACAGCACACGCTTCCTATTACTTTCCCCAGGGGCGTGGTGGGATATATATCCCCGTAGCCTACCGTGGTCATCGTAATACCCGCCCACCAAAAAGTTTCCGGTATAGAAATGAATTTGGTGCCCGGTTCTTCTTTTTCGGCGAAATAAGCCAGACTGGAAAATATCAGGACCCCCATAGCGAGAAAAAGCATCAGCAGGCCCAGCTCTTTGTAAGAGTTCTTTAATGTGAAACCCAACGATTGTAAACCGGTCGAATGCCGCGCTAATTTTAATATTCGCAAAATTCGCATTATCCTAAACACTTGCACTACTCGACGGACGTCTTGAAATTGATCGGTAGCGTTCTTATTGGTTTCTAATAAAAATAGGGACACAAAATAAGGCAGTATGGCTAGTAAGTCTATGATATTCAATCCACCCTTGAAGAATTTCCATTTGTTAGGCGACGCGCTGAACCGCAGAATATATTCTAAGGAGAACCAAGTTATGCAGACCGCTTCTACCATTGCCAGTTGGGGGTTGTCTTGGAAATTGCCCTTTTCGTCGTTTACCTGCATACTGGGGATGGTGTTTAGGGTCAGTGCGATGGTGGACAGCACGATAAACAATATCGATATGATGGCTATTACCTGGAATAACAAAAAAGCAGCACGGGATGTAGAATAGTTTTTTGTATCAAGTTATTTCGGTTGAAGCAAGCCTTATCCAATTTACACCTTTGAGGTAGAAATTAGATTCCCAAAGTAAAATGTGTTTATGTTATGAATATGAATATGCTATGCTATGGAGGGTGTATTTCAATTATAAAGAAAAAGGTGTAATTTGGATAAACAATGTAGTGTACAGTGTACATGAGAGGAGATATATAAGAAATATGTAAAATATGTTTTAGGTTTAACATAAATGCATGTTTTAGTTTATGGCGCCCTCGCTGCTTCGATTTTTTTAATAAAACCAGTTTTTAAAAGAAAGCTGCTATATATAAAGAATAGGCTTGCGTGTTTGGGGTAATGTATGATAATCTTGGAACGTGTAGGGGTGTAGATAAGTACATTTTGACCTGAATGCTACACGATTACCCCTGTTTCTTGAAATATTAAGTTAAATTTTGTCTTAAAAAACAAAACTCCTGATGAAGCCAGAAATACTAAGAGGCAAGTCCCAATTCAAACACCGATTCTGGTATACTAATAAATATTTGAGAATTTTTCTAGAATTCCTTGGGGATAAAGTGGAAAGCCTGGTGAAAATCGATTTAGCTTGGACAAGTTTCTCAAATCAAGCCAAAGCCACATTGAAACTTCAAACATGGCGATGAAAATGGCCTGTGACTAGAAAAACTACACTTTTTTTCCCATTAACGTAAGTTGAATTTTACACACAACGTTCGTAGTGGTAATGTAAATCGCACGGGCATAGATCAGTCAGGAACCTCCATCAGTCTTCAACTTGCCCCTTTGAGGAAGTGTTTAGATCTTGTGACAGATTTTATTTTATTTTTCGAGAAAACGCTTCAAGCAGTGATCAGAAAATTCTGAGAGCTCAAATCAAACTCAGAGTCAAGTTTGAATGAAAAATGTTGTTCAATAAAAGGGAGAAGCTTGACTCCTATCCATTGAAACGGCGCGAAAAAGACTTTTGAAGCTCTTTGGAAGAAGGCATGAAAGTGAAGCAATATCAATGATAAATTGATACGATAAGCGCGCAAACAAAGGCAAAGAAAATAGTCTTTTAAGCAATGAGAAGCGAAATACGATGGAATATGTAAATGTCAATGAAACAATAAAAGCAACTCTCGCAGCCGAGGCAAGTAGCTCAAAAGAGACGTTCTAATTAAGTAGAAATCGACATTTGTACAAATTACTTGAAAAGTTCAATTTAAAATAATAGATAATCAAAGAATTTGCCAGTCTTGTCTCAAACTATCAATCTCAAGTTCACTTGTGACATTCTAATTAAAATTTCCAATAAATAATGTCCCGATGACAAATTAACTACTAAAAAAAATCATAGACTCGCAGTTCGTTTAACAAAAGGTTTACGTTGCATGCGTCCCATCAATTTAGCTGCAGCTCTCCAAATGGTCATACAGGAAAATAAATAACACCCACTATTTCCAAAATTCAATGAGACCTAATGTATAAACCTAATCTAATGTAAATTTACATTGAAAGTGCCGACCGACTAAAAAGCGATGAGCGTTTTCGGGAACGAGAATACCGGCCCTCTGTACCCCGTCAGTCTAACCAAGGTTTTAAACAACCCTAACAGAACAATTTCAAGGCGTTACAATGGCCGCAACGTTTTACCCAACCAAACTATAATTATTCTAATTTTAATTCCCAGACGCCATACAATCTGTTTCAACAAAGTTCTAACTATACGAGTTTTCTATCTCAACCTATCAATGTAAGGCCAAATTTCAATAAAACCCCTAGAAATGTTGCCACAAACTCTAGAGTGTTTGGAAAATCAAACCAATCGAACGTGTTTAAATTAAATCCCAATCGAAACAAGCCGCTACCAGCACCGCAACCAATGAGCCTCTGTACTTCTGGATTTAAGCCAAAACAATCCCAAACTATGCCATACGCCTTACGAGTTGAGCACTACGACGTCTGAAGGGCAAGGGGGAATAACGCCATTAATGTCGAGCTTTATGCTGCCTGTCAGCGCGCAGCGTTTTTAAATATTACTTTTTTTTTATAAATGTAGGTGTGTAACATAGATAAATATTAAGGTATTTTCTATTGGAAGTCAAATAGGCAATATTGCAATTTTTTCATCTGCATTCTTTCTATAGTGCTAGACTCGTAAGGCGAACTTTACTCCTAGATTTCAACCTTCAACCTCGTACCAAACCCAGCCGAAATATACTTTCGAAGAATTATACAGGGTGTCCGGAAAATAGCGTAAAAGCTCTCCACTACGTAGTAGGGGACTCTTTGAGTTACCCTGGAAAAATAATTAAAAAAATCCTCCTCAACCATTCTTGGAAATATGAAGAGGTAAATGTGGAAATTCAACTTCCTTATTTTTGATTTTTTTTTCAAATTTAAATATTTCGTACAAAGTCTTAGGTATCTTTTGTTAATTCATTACACAATGGTTCATAAAAATTTGTTGTTACCCTTTGAAACGCATTTGGAAAATTGCAAAATCTCTTAATTACAACGGGAAAAATTGATCTGACAACATTCCTTAGTTAAAATGCTAATAACTTTCTTAAAAATGCCACCAGATTTTTTAAATTATTTTTCTGGGGTTCCTTGAAGAGTCCTCCACCACGTAGTGAAGAGCTTTTACGCTATTTTCCGGACACCCTGTATAATGCCGAAATGAATGAACCCGTTTCTGACCCGTCAAACCAATATTATTCCAGTGATTTCGAGAATAATTACAATGACACGGCGACTCAATACTACTATAGTACTGAAGAAAACCCTTCTTCCGATTATTATAATTACCAAGCAAATTTTACCAACGAATCTTTGGCACCAATCCCGACCTGTGATAATACTAATGGAACTGACCTACCCGAGGAAGATGTAAATTTTCAAATAACACCTCAAGAGGACAATCAAACTTAGTCATTTCCTTGAACATGGCAAATTCGAGCGAATTATCATATAATATTGACTCCGGTTCTACAAAATCTTTCCTTAACCCAGATTTAGCCCAAAAATATTTCTCATATTGCATCCATTTATCGTCAGTACAGTTTTTCAAAAATCCGCTCACAGATTTAGCGCGTTGATACCAACTTCAAAAATTTTCAATTTGCCTGAGAGTCAAAATTTGAAATTCTTTTTTTTCAAAGTCCACAACGTTTTCGACGGCCTAATAAGCTTAGACAATCGTAAACCCAAATGTCGATTTTAAAACCGGATTTCTAATAACCCCGCATGCAAAAATTAAACTAAAATTTCATAAAATCCAAACTGAACTCAATTGTATCGCAATAAAACCACGAAGCGAACAAATAGAAAAAGTGAAAACTTCTAATAATAATGGAGAAATAATCATTCTCCATCAAAAAATTCACAATTGTGAAATTCCCGAATCTCTAACTATTGCGAAAAACGGTTACGCATTAACAACGATTTTGAATAAACTCATGCGATGCCATCACACTCGATTTTTCAGAACCTCTAATGGTAGAAAAATTCTGCCTCAAACAACTCCAAAATATTGACCTAAACCACTTTGACGATTCGCCCCTCCAGACTTCGACCTTTCGAAAATTTGCGTAGACCACCTGAACCCAGAAGAACGCAAAACAATTTTACACCTTTGCAAGGAATTTGCTGATGTATTTTACCAAGAAAATACACCACTCTCATTTACAACAAAGATAAAACACAATATTCGAACTTCGGTTGAAATTCCCATTTACAGCTAAACTTATAGGTACGCGTTTATCCAAAGTAGAAAGCCAAATTAAAAAAATGCTTGATCAAAGGATAATTATACCATCAAATAGCGTGGTCAAGTCCCATCTGGGTGGTACCCAAAAAACTAGACGCGACAGGACAACACAAATTTAATGGAGAGTGGTCATCGATTACAGGAAACTGAATGAAAAGACGATCGATGACAAATTCCCATTGCCTAATATCACAGACCTATTGGACAAATTAGGCAAGGCTCAATATTTTACTACCTTAGATTTGGCGTCCGGTTTCCACCAAATCGAGATGAGCGAAGAGGACTCTTCCAAAACAGCATTCAATACAGAGAATCGACACTATGAATTCTTGAGAATGCCTTTCGGGCTTAAGAACGCCCCCACCACGTTCCAAAGAGTCATGGACTCAATCTTTGAGAGGCATACAAAACGAAAAATGTCTCGTGTACCTATACGACATAATCGTTTTTTCGACTTCACTCCAGGAACTAGTCGACAACCTAAAGCAAGTTTTCAGCTTGACAAAAGCGAGTTTCTGAGACGAGAAGTTGCTTACCTCGGGCATGTAGTTACACCTGAGGGAGTCAAGCCGAATCCTGATAAAATCGCCGCAATTAAAAAATATCCAATTTCCACAACAACTAAACAAATTAAAGGATTTCTTGGTTTACTAGGGTATTACAGAAGATTTATCCATAATTTTGCGAAGATCACCAAACCATTGACCAAATGTTTACAAAAAGGAGCAAAGATCGAACACAATCGGGAATTTGTAGAATGATTCGAAACCTGCAAAAATCTTCTGACCAAGGAATCAACGAACCTTAAGACGGATGCGAGCAATGTAGCTTCGGGAGCAGTTTTAAGCCAAGGGCCTCCTGGAAGCGATCTTCCTATAGCATACGCCTCACGCACGCTCAACGACTCCGAGCAAAATTATTCGACAATAGAAAAAGAGTGTTTGTGCCTTGTTTGGGCCACTAAATATTTTAGGGCTTACTTGTACGGCCGAAAATTCAACATCATGACAGATCACAAACCACTACAATGGCTTTTTTCTATAAAAGATCCAGGTGGTAAGCTTCTGCGCTGGCGAATCAGGCTAGAAGAATTTGATTATAAAATTATTGTACAAAAAAGGAAAAGCCAACATAAATGCCGACGCATTATCGCGCATTGAAATACATGTTAAGGAATTTTCTCTCTACAGCTAGAACAAGAATCCTCGGACAACAAACCCTCAACATCAAAGAAAGTCGTCCAGGAATTAGAATATAATCTAGACCAATCGTCTATTATAGCGCAACCCGATACCGGGCCTCCTGATATGCCCGACATCCAAGAAGACGATAACAATACGATACACACAAATAATGAACAAGATCCAATTGTTGGAATCCCCATATTAGACACAGCATTAAATTATGGCGCCAACCAAATCATCATTTCGCAAGTGCTACATTCACCAGGAAAACCAAAAATTACCATTCTTTTCGAAAAGAAACGCTGAATTACTGTCCAACTTAGTAAAAATGATTTTGAAGCAGATATATTAAGATTTATTAAAGAAAACGTAAACTTTACTATTTATATTTTGAAGATCAAGACTGCGAAGTGATAAGAAAATATTTCAGATGGCCGTCTTTGCATTTTAAACGATGCTTCGAAAGGCTAATTGACGTGACCAATAAAAAGGACATTCCCGAAATTATCCAAAATTATCATGAAGGCAAAAACAACTACAGATAAGGCATAGAAGAAACGTTAGGAAAAATCAAAAGCAAATTTTATTGGCCAAACTTCAAAAATTCTATTCAAATCTATCTTAACCAATGCGAAATCTGTACTAGGACTAAGTACGAATGGCACCAAATTAATAGATAAATATCGCACCCACAGCAATAAAACCTTTTGAAATAATTAACCTTGACACATATACTTTGGAACAAACAAAATTTTTAACAATTTTAGATAGTTTTTCAAAGTACGACCAAACCTATGCCCTAAAATCTTTGGCAGCAACAGAAATAGCCGACAGTCTCCTTTCCTTTTTTTCACACCACAAATTATTTTGGATAACGGAACCGAATTTAAAAATACTGTCGTTACGGAACTTTTACAACTACATAAAGTTAAAATTCACTTTAATTCTCCCAATCACCCACAATCAAACGGTGCAATTGAATGTTTTCATTCAACAATTGTCGAACATGTTGGATTATTGAATGCCCAAAATTTCAATAATTTCACTATTACCCAAAAAATGACCAATGCTATATGTATTAGCATATAATAATTCCATCCACTCAGTAACGAAACTAAAACCAATTGACATAATCAATGGTCATACTAGCTCCGAAGACCCTTTCGATCTAAATATAGATCAATTGTTATTATCTGATTATATTAGTGAACGCATGAGGACCGATCTAAACTACTACTAAAGTTAATTCAAAACAAAGAATCAGTAATTACAAAAATCAACGAGAAACGCGATAGCCCAGAGCTGTTTGAAACCGGAAAGGTCATACATATCAAAAAACACACTTGTCAGAAACTTGGCGAAAAATTCTCAAAACCTGGGAAAATTACTGCGGTCAACAAAACTCGCAAAACCGTGTGAACAAACGCTCACAGTAAAATTCACATGGTTAATATAAAAAGGCCACTCAAGAAAACATATAGTTTCGACTAGGCTAGTTTTACCTACCTCTTAGAATTAGAGTGGACATAATTAGGTATACTATTTTTCATAAAGCTAAAACTTATCTTTTAATATTTTAATAATAAGTTGTATCTCGTGTTACATTTCAGAACGACTGTGGGATTCATCACATTACACGTCGGAATCGGACTAACTACAGATAAAATTACAATGAAAAGGTTAGACGACAATCCTGGTTTATTACCGGTCAAACTAGGAAATGTGAAAATTCACGATTATAACTATTGTCCGTCGATTTCGCGGAGTGATATTCAGACGGAATGTGAGCTGGTGGCTCCCTACATTAGAACTCCAATGGTTACCTGACGTCACACCTGTTTTTGCCATATGAAACACTCCCTCACTCCTCATACGGAAAGTGTCAGTTAAAAATCGACGAACAATATAGTTTAATTCACTTTTGAAAATGAAAATTCTCAAATTAACACATGGTATAGAGTTGAAAACAAAATTAAGGAAATAATTCCACACCCACAGAGAATTAAAAGAGGACTTATAAATATATTAGGTTCAGTTTTCAAAGCAGTCAATGGCAATTTGGACGGCGCTGATGGAGAACGCTACGAACAATTAATCGATAGTTTTCAAAATAATCAAAATAAGCTGGCAGAAAGTATTTTGAACCAAAGTTCAATATCACTGAACGTAATTGCTAAATTTAATGACACCATAACACAAGTTGGCTAACACGAGAAGCTGTTAGAGTCTAAAATAAAACAAATATCCTGGATTGTGCAAAAAGGTACAATGAAAGAAAACGCTATTTTCATTAAAGACGTTTTAAATCAGATAATTAATCTTCACGGAATTATCGATTCTGTATTACAGGATGTTCAAAATTGTATCACCTTTTGTAAACTTAAAGTAATGCATCCAAGCATTATGAAAACCGAAGATTTTTTTTCTGAACTTAAACCTGGAAAAACGAGTCAGCTCGAGTCAATTACCTTTACGGATAGAATTAACTAACATACTTTCCTGGGAGAAACTTATCGTTATTGACTGTTTTATTTTGAATAATAAAATCACTTACTTATTGCATATTCCAATAATTGTTTTATAAGAAAGTTTCGAAATTTTTCATTTATATTCAGTCCCTATTTTATCCCAGAGTCGGTTCAAGGTTATTTTGCCGCGTAATAAATTTCTGATGAAAAACAAATTGCACTATACATACCAAGACAAGGGCTGTCAAGAAATCTCACCCCAACGCTACATAAGTATGCGAAAAAGAAAATCTGAAGGAAATTCATTGAATGTGCAATACAGTTGTTATCAGCTCCAAGAGTCACTTCAACCTGTAATCAAATCGAAGTCTACATAAGCCAGCCGATAACCAATCAATTGACCACTTCCAATAAATGGCTATTCGTACTGCCCAGTGAAGGAATAATTGAATTTAAATGTTTTGCCCAACAAGAAGAAATCAAACTAAGTGGAACCTACATCCTCGAAATTCCAAATGGTTGCCAAATTTCATTCAACGACCCCGTCATAGTCAATAACCAAAAGACGACAAACGGAAGTATCCAGCCCATACTTTTCCCGGATCTGAGTGAAACTTCAAGTCTCATGCCAATTTTAAACCTGAAATTCCACCTAGATGACCTGAAGCTTGATGAATTACAAGAAATAAAGAGCCAGATCATCACTAACCAACCCCACTTGGATTTCGACAAAGTTACCAAATTTCCATCAATTTGGACAATTTTAATATATCTTCTACTGATACTTGGCTATTCCTTTATGTTTTACAGAAAATTCTGCCAAAAGCTCAGTTCACAAGGAAAACAAGAAGAATAAGCCCTGAAGCTTCGACCGATTCAACTACCCAGTCCGCAACCGATTCAATTTCCCTGACGGTATAGTTGTCAGTAGAACTTAGGGATGGAGGAGTTATGTCACCACCAAACAGCTAAACAAGCTGAGTCGACATGCTGACCCCGCATACTTAATCTTATAAAATAATTAGAATTGCATTGTTAGAGTTAGTCAGTATTTTTAAGTGCTTTTGTATTAAACTTAAATAAATGTTTTTTAAAAAACGTAGTTGGCCTATCGAGATAGTTAACTAGCCATTTACATTCGTTCTTGAACGTCTTCTGAAAGGCGTTTTGTATCTTTTAACCTGAATCCTGAGATTCTGGCAGTTTTCAAAATGTTTCTGAAGATTTTAGAGTGTTTTGGAGCGTCCTAAAATGGGTTTCAAACTTCTGAATTGTTCTAAGAGGCTTTTGAAAATTGTTAATCGGTTTTTGAATGTTTTGGAGCATTCTAAAATGGTTCTGAAGTTTCCAAATTGTTCTGGAGCGTTACAGAATACCTACTTTTTGAAATTCTGGATTGAATTTTATTCATTTGGAATGTGCCAAAAGTCTTATTAAAGTTCTAGAGTGTGTGTCTGTAGCATTTTAAATAGTTTCCAGTAACTTCTAAATCGAATGAGAAATGAATTCTGTACGAAGTTTTTGTAGACTTAAAAATGTCTTTGGGATTTCCACAAACGACATTCAAGACGTTTTTTCGAAGTCTGCTCACGTGTCCGAGGCATCTTGAAGACTTGGTATGTTACAAAACCCAATGTCTCTCGAACGTCTGCCTAAAAACATCTTTATGCAATTTTCCTGAGGCATTCTAAAGACGTTTCGGAATCTCTTTTTAATACATGAACCATTAGTCACTTTTAGGCCCGGTTGTACCAAATAATGTGGCTCTTTAAGATGTGAATTTACGACATCTTATAGACGTATTTTTTTGGTCTTCAGACGTTCAGACGCAATGCAGACCTAAAAAAGACTTCTTTAAAACTTTGTGGGGTTCCAACCCAGCAGGAGCCTGTACATTGCACCTGGCACCGTCGAGTGTTTTCGTTTCGAACCCATTCTCGGGACGGTTTTTTGGCAGGTTGGGTTGGAGAACAAACCTTATGAAGTGAATTGACTATGGAACATTATTGCAATTTAATTGACTGAGTGAAATGAGAAATTACTATTGAATATCTTTCTTTCTAAGGGTACAATAGTTAGGCGAATATAAAGCGCAAGACTATTGTCAATTATTAATATGAATTTTCTGAAGAGTTTTGAAAAAAAATTGACTGTTCAATATTTGGGATCTAAATAAAACCTTTACATCAAATCAAATACACCCCCCTGAACATTTTTTCAAACTTGTTGTCAACAAAATTTGATTTTTTTAACTTTCCAAAAAGTTGATACCACTTGAGGATGCTTCAACTAAATTGTTACAGTGTCAAAATGTATATGTATAGGAGTAATGATGAAATGTATGATAAACACATAAAGGCACAGAAAAACAAACAAAAAGTACAGGAAAAAACACAGAACAAAAACCTTAATATTAACGAAAAGAAGTTCCACGTAACTCCCGATTAATAAGCGAACAATTATTAGTTGATTAAAGCTGAAAGCATTGTACAATTATTATCACGAAGCTGATGCACGAAATAGTCTAGAGGATTATCGTTATCCGCGCATTATTAACGTCGACCCTCAAACAAAAAAATAAAAAAACCATAAATTAGGAAGCAATGTACACATTGCGGGAACTCTATTGTGTTGATTATACCTAGTCTAGTCCTCGAAAAAGACTTATTTATAACCGACACTTATGCATTTTGAGTTCCCTTTAAATTGCAAAACCCACTGGTCATCTCGTTTACCCATCCGCTATAATTAATAAATGTTTAAGCAAAACACCAATACGAAAGAAATACAACATCGAGTTTCTTCATAATCCATCAGAAGCCTATAAAAGAACGTCTAAAAAAAATTGTTAAAGTATTTCATGAAGCGCCACTTAATAATCATTACTAAGCAATATTTAAGCATGCAGGCTTTACGAGGCCATTAACGAAGCTATATGACTTATTTACGCTTCAATAATGCCGTTGTTAATTAACAAATTCTAATAAAGAGCTAAAGAAAATACGTGTGACCGATTTAATTGCCTTTTGTTTTATGTAGTCAAACGGAAATTTAAATAGAAAATCGTTAAGAGGACTTTTATTAGCTTCATTTATGACCTGTAAATAATTTGAACGCCAATAATTATGTCATTAGAAATAAATTAGTTAACATATTTTTGGCATACAAACATTTGGTATGTTCTCCGGTGATAAAACTTGTTAGTAAAATTTGCACCTTTTGAGCACCTTCAGTAGCACGGAAGAACATCGTGTAGCTTATTTTTATTAACGTAAATGCTGAGTTTTCAATAGAGATGTCAATATTTACAGAATAAAGCATGAAATTAGTAAATTGTCCTAGCGTAGTCGACCTATACAATTTTATACAATAAAGTTTTCAAATGTATAGCAAAAAAGAACCCCAAAATCCTCTTTTTCTATTGAAATGTTAGCTGCAGCAATGCTTAGCTCCACCTGTACAAAAGGGGTTCTTTCTTGTTAAGGCACATGCAAAAAAAAACACCTTTTTTGTCACTCACCCTTGCAGCTATCGAAGTAGTAGGTTTTTCCAGCATATCCCATAGCCATTTCTGCCATTGCGAACACTGGCCCTCGCCTAGGAAAATGTCTATTCAGTATAAATTAGGTTCTAATATTTGATGGTCTGTCCCAATCCTCTATGAAAATGGTATTTTGATACAAAATTACATAGAAGGTTGGAACAAACCTCAAAAAATAGTGTGCATGGGCCAAATTGAACATTTTCAGTCATAAATAACTTTCTACTTGTTGAACTAAACGCCTAGCTTTCGTTATCATTTATAAAAAGTTCCCTTTAAACTTATTGGGAGATTTTTAGCTTAATGGAAAATGGTGAAAAGTCATTTGTGATAAACAATAAGTTTAATTTGGCCCTCGAATCTATATTACTTCATACCGAATTCTTCCTCATCTCGTTGTCGTAACGATTCGGCTTCTTTTCTCATTTCTTCGTGCACGTGCTCTTTTCTTTGATGATATTTGTGCTGACAGCAAGACTCCAAGTAAAGCTCGTCGATCTGTAATTAACGTTCAAAGTAAACATACGCACACGCTCAAAGCAGACAAATAATAATATAATTGAGAGGTCTAAAATTGGAAGTGTCTCGTCATTGGGGCAAATAAATCTATAAGCAAGAAATCAATTTAAAAAATATCCTCAAAACAGGCAGGAAATACCTGTTTTGTGCCAAAGCCTAAAAGGCCAGAAAAGGTTTTAATCAGTTTTTGGCAACAGACCACAATATTTATCGACGCTATGTCACATGATTAATTACTTCACACTTCAATTTCCCATTGATTTTGATGAGTTTATCTTTGTTATCGTAATGCAAAGATAATCAATTATTATTGAACTATCGAGCAATAATTACCCTTATGTTCATTGTTGCGCACTATTCAAAGGGGCGCAATAATTAAGTGATTATGTTGATTATACAACTCACTGTACATTATTCCCATATGACACGAGAGGCTTAAAAAGTGATAAGCCTTTTGGGATTATCGCGCTTGGTGGCATTTATGGCAAATTCTATTATAGGTAGAAATTTTATTAAATTTTAAAGTATTAAAGTTTAGATCGTTGTATAACCTTTTGAATACCACTCGATGTTTCAGGATTACCTAATACTTTTACCTGACACTCAACCCACTCCTTCGGAGTCATGGTGTTGCTGCGTAACGCGTTTCGTGACAGGTAAAAGTATTATCCGGTAATCCTGAAACCTCTTGTGATATTACATTCGATTATACAACTCACTGTACATTATTCCCATATGACATGAGAGGCTTAATAAGTGATAAGCCTTTTGGGATTATCGCGCTTGGTGGCATTTATAGCAAATTCTATTATAGAATTTTTTTAAAATTTTAAACTTTTAAAGTTTAGATCGTTGTATAACCTTTTGAATACCACTCGAAGTTTCAGGATTACCTAATATTTTCACCTGACACTCAACTCGTTACCAGCAACACCACCTCCTCCTTCGGAGTCGTGGTGTTGCTGCGTAACGCGTTTCGTGACAGGTAAAAGTATTATCCGGTAATCCTGAAACCTCTTGTGGTATTACATTCGATAAGTCCAAAATTAGACTAATTTTGAGATTAGAGTCTTAACAACGAGAACTGGCAAGCCAAGCAGAAACTGTCAATTTGAATCGGGTTTTTGGAACGATGACCAGGAAACCTTTTTTTCCATTCTCCACGAAAGTAACGGAATCAAAATATTCATAGACATGTTGCGCAAAAATTAACCCTTAAACTGTTTAAATAATGAATTTGAATAAATAAAGCCTAACAGGTCTAGGTACAGTAATAAGACACCCTTATAAGGAATGCGGGTGGGAGTAGGTTCATTATATAGTTTTAGCTTTATAGGCCGCCACTGGTTTACAAAATAAAATCCGCGGACTTAAACCAGAAAGTCCCTGATCTCCGAAATTCCTCCAAAGATGTTCCCACCTGATGTACCTATCCTTTAAAAACAACTTTCCCTTAATTTGGTTGAGGTCAGTAGGAGTAAAATAAGAGTCAAATCTAAAAATATTATTCCCCTTATAAATCTATTTAATATAATCTGGAGAGGGGGGTATGTTTAGAACTGCAATGGCATTCCAAAGGTCAATAGAAGTCAATATACCGGGTGAGGCACGAAAAACTTTCCACCCAGGTTTTCTCAGGTGTTAGGTGTTTAATCAAAAATCGCTCAGACACGTCGATTTTTGTTTTTTGGGGGACACATTTTATTGGTATTTTCACCCCCTACCTGTGAACCCCTAAGTGGGGGTAACAGGTACCCTCAAAATTTCAAATAGAAAGAAGGGTCGAGTGATATGTCATTTGGTAGCTATTTTCATTGAGATTATATCCTCAAAGTTTTAAGTTGCTACTATTAACCCTGCCGAAATGGCGGCATGTCAAAATTAGGATAATTGCTTTTTTTCGATAATCTAAGCTGTATTGTTTTTACCCATCACACCTATGCGTAGGTAACAAGTAAAAACCACACAGCGTTTTTCCATTGATTTTTCCTAACTTTGACAAGCCGCCATTTCGACACGGTAAATAGTAGCAAATTGAAACTTCGGGGATATAATCTTAATGAAAATAGCTATCAAATAACGTATCACTCGACCCCCTTTCCATTTGAAATTTTATGGGTACCTGTCACCCCCAGTTAGAGGTCGACAGGTAGGGGGTGGAAATACCAATCAAATGTGTCCCCCAAAAAACAAAAATTGACGTGTCTGAGCGTGTTTTGATTAAACACCTAACACCTGAGAAAACCTGGGTGGAAAGTTTTTCGTGCCCCACCCGGTATAAAATACACCAGTAATTATTAATAAATGTAATGGTCAAAATTACCAAAAGGTAGCAAGGGCCAATTTATAATGGTCTTATAAGATACTCCAATAAATTCATTAAGATATACCAATAAATGTTTGACCACCTTACCCCAATGAGAGTAAAAGAGAGCAATTAAGGAATAAAAACATTAATAATATCAATTAAAACCTGTACACGCCTATACCATGGTATACCAGGGCGGGTTTGTACAAAAATGTCACCTTAAATAGGTATAGTAAATCAATAATCATTGGTACAGTATACCCATTGTAATAATGAAGGCGGTAAAACAAACTTGGACCCAGACGGCACAAACATATTGCAGGAATATTCATGGCAAATTTCATGGGAATATTGAGATATCCCATTCATATGCCATGCAGATAATTCATATGACAAGAGATATCAGAAACATTGTCAGAATACCAATTTGCTGGGTTGCTGCGCAAAAAACCGCTTGAGCTTGTAAATTGTAAGACTATTCCGCTTCAAGTGCCAGCTCATTTGGATATTGGAATATTCACTGAATATCCAATATCCCTGAAAAATGTCTGATGAATATTTCATGCATATTAATTAGATATTCACAGAACAACCTCCTTGGGTCCTTATTCTTGAAACAGGGGAGCAGCGTTCCCAGGAGAACGAGTGTTCCGTCTTTCTCAATGATATGCAACTGATAATATAAAGTAACAAAGTTAAACAAATTGTTTATAATAGTTTTCTGTCCAAAACGTAGCGTAGGTATAAAATTTTAAGCGCTCAGAAACATGTAGAAAATAAATTTCTCTAATTTTATATAATTATTATGTAAAAATCTTCCTTTCGCATATTCAAGGAATATGATTACATCATATTCACGGCATATCCTATACCTAACTATATGCCTGGAATATGCTAAATTAATACAGAATATTACAAATATGCTGGGGATATTTCTGAAATATGCCTGGGATAATTGGCAGATTGTAGGCATATACCAGCAGGGTGCCGTCTGGGGAAATGAACCAAGTTAAATATAAGATATAATATTAATAATAAAGAAAATGATTAAGAAACATAAATAAATCAAAAGGTACATCACCCCCTTATGGTCTTGCCTGCAGTCTAAACATCCATTTACATTACAGTCCTGATAACAGACCCCATCAACTTCTTGACTTCCCTTCTTAAGTAGGGTAAATTTCGGTTTCAATTCAGTGTTGTGAGTACTCTGACACCTCACCTTCGGAACGTTAGCAAAACGTCGAAAGGGAAAAACCCAATGGCCATTAATGTCCCCTTTGAAAGTGACTAGTGAGTTTTTTACTGACAAATTGCCCCTTGTGGAGGTCAAATTCCCCTTTTTTTATTGAATCCCAAATATCTACAAAAATACTAATATGCTTATCTAATTATTGATAAAGAAAAAGTAAATTCAGATTGATAAAAACGTTTAAATTTACCTGGTTACAATTCGGGCATCTAGTTGAACAAAACGTGCTCTTTGCTCGCACGACAACTCAACAAAATGGCGTAGATTCTCGTCTCCAGAAAATTCTGAGTGGTTGGCTTACAAATACCTACCTACGGGGACTTACGACCAAATCCAAGTTTCCACCCCAAATCAATTAAGCCAGCTACCACTTGAGTTCCCAACGCCTCTAAAATCCCACAAAAGGTGGATGTTCCAAGGAACCCATCAAAGAGGACCTCTGGTGAAATCTGCCCAACAGCTTGTTGCTTGCTCAATGCGAATTTAAAGAGAACGACCCTTTTTCGGCAATTTACCAGGTGAGCTCATATGAAAAATTTCCCAGAATTCTATTTTTTCCAAGATGCCCTCTGGTGCCAGATTTCCGGTCTTGACCAGGAAAACGAGACAATCAGCTTGAAAGAATAACCCAAACCACATCGATGACAAACAAAACTCACAATAATTGTTATCCAATTTTCTCCCCTAACACTAATTAATTAATTAATAATCATCATCTACCCAGTTTTTAGTCTAAAAACTATCAAATTGACCTCTCGTCCAGTGATAGCAACGTAGTAGGATCAACAAGTATCCCATAACCACACTTATTCGGGGAATAAATACCTGAATTAATTACTGAATTTATTCGAAATTCCAGTTACCTACAGGCAAAATTTGTACGTAACAGACATATCAGAAATTAAAAATCCTACTAGTCAAGATAAGATCTTCAACATGGTCGACCTGAAGGAGGAGGTTTGTAAAACGTTTTTGCGAAGATATTTTCCAAAAGATGCCGTCAAGACGTTTACCTAAGAGCAATTTAGAACATTGGCCATTGGTCCTCAGGTAATGTAAAAAGAATTATCTGGACCGTCTTACCTAAGTCATTGGCCAAATAGGGACACGTTCATTGTTACATTTCTCTAAAAAGACTGTAGGTACTTAAGCTCAATTTAATACAACGGCCAAATCGGGACGACTTCTGCAGGAATTTTAAGTAAATATCTGTAGATAGTCTCACTCAAGAACAATTTAATACATAGACCGAATACTGACGTCTTCAAGACATCACCTTTTAGACGTCTTTAGGTTGTGAGGACGATAGTTTTGTTTGACAATTTTACGTCCAAGGGACAACAATTTTGTCCCACGATAAGGCGTACGTAGGAGGAAAGAAACAGTCTATCAGTAAGACGTCGAAGTCACGTCAGCCTTTAAAGTTGAAAAGACTGCTTTAAGAAACGTCTCATGGATCTGAAAAATCACCTATTTGGTCAGTTTCGTCATTCGAATAATCAAAAAGGCATTCTAGAGGCGTTAACTGGGTCATTCGTTAACCCAAACAATAAGTCTAGAAGTTGAAAAACTTGAAAGGCTTGCTGAGGACTTTCTAACTACTCTGTAGAACAATGTGAACATAAATGATCAACAATTCTCATCTGTAAGAGGAAATGATGAAGGTAATGACAATTTTAAGGTAGTTTTGAAGATGAAGAATATCTTAGAGACATATTACAACTTCGTATTGAGGACATCTAGAGTGTCTTAGCGTTTATTATTAGGATATAATATTCACATCCTACCTCCATGTCACCTTGAGTAAATCTGGTAATACTTTTTCACTGTTTTCTTGAACACATCATCTCTAAGACTATTTCTGAAAAGTAAGTAAGTAATGATTCTTACCCCCCAGTATTCCAAATCGTCGCTAAAAGCCAACACGCACATCTCGTCGACCAAATGCAGCTTGCCGGTGCGGTAAAAGTTGAGTATCGATGAAAACGACTTGGGATGTCGATCGAAATAGTATTCGTTGTCGATCAGCGAGTAGTCGTCGCACATTTCGCTTAGCGCCTCGTGAGTGTTGCAGTCGCGCAGGCGCCCCAGCCTGGTGTGAGGTAGCCGGTCGAGCGTGCGCCATAACACTTCGTGTTTGACTCCGCCGACGTTTAGGATCACGCGTCGGTTCAGAGCCTGGAAAAGTGTTCAAAGAAACTCTATTAAGTCATCAAAAAGAGCAGGTAGAACTCTGAATAAAACGTTCCTGATAAAAACATAAAGTTTGTGTGTGAATTATATTTTCGATTCAGAAACTTGTATTTTTAAAAAACATTTACCTATTTTATTAATTAAAATACAATGGTGACAAAATAAAATATGTGGATCAAATTGCTGCGACGTAAAAGTCGATTACAAATGAACCTGATTCTAATTACTATAGTCTGGCTACAAAATAATAGAATGAGCTCGAGAAGCTCTGCACGCTGTATTTATAAGAAATAACTGCTGATGCAGCATTTACGTAGACGGAATGGTGGTACTATCCAGTGTAGTACCGCTTAGTCAGCAGTTCCCATTATTATAAGTTTTGACAGAGGCGTTTGCTTATACTTAACATTGGAAAGGAGAATTATTAGTATAATGATAACATAGGGTTTTACAATATAACTTGTGTGTGTGATATATTTTTCTTTTTTGGAAACGCCTTAAACAAACCATATCCAGGCCAGTGAACTAGATTATTGAAATATATCCAGGTCAAAACAACAATAACAGCCTAGTAGGCGTCACGCACTAGGGTGGGTTGATTTAATATCGCTTTATTAGGATATATAAACCTATTTTTTACATTCAATTTTACACAATGCACACAATACTATTCTTCGGTAGTCATCTGATACTTTATTTCGTAATAGGGTGCGGACATGCTGGAACACGGATTTAGGGGCGATGCTCGAAAATGTTTTTGAGGAAGGCGAGAAGAAACAAACAAAAAAGTGGACGTAGTTGACATCTGATACGAAAAAACATTACTCACTTAAAAACACTTAAGGATTTAGGTACCTCATAATATGTGTAATAGAATTTGAAAGAAATAGGTACGTTAAGTGACTGTCACTGAATATAACTGGGTACCTACTGCTGCAAAATTCTAGATACCCAGTAAGACCGTAAAAACGCTACAACCTTTAATAACTGTACAGGGTGTCCAAGATTCGATAGTTTTGGCAGATTTCGGAGAGGAGTTGCAAAAAATCTGACTCTCACTTGCAGGTTTCGATTATCAAGAGAAGTTTACCGGTGAAACCCGCATCTTGATATCTCGATTCATTTTTAAGCTAAAAGGGGAAAGTTGACCAAATTTTCATAAATGAAAAAGTTATAGTCCCCCTGCCAAACTCCAAACTTTTCAAAAACCCCTCATAGCATAAAAACGACTCGACATATCGAGATGCGGTTTTCACCAGTCAATTTCTCTTGAAAATCGAGGCTCGCAAGTAGGGGTCAGATCTTTTCCAACTCCTTTAGAAATACCTACCCGAAACCCCCCAAAACCATTGAATCTTGAACACCCTGTACAATATAATAGTGTCAAATGTTACTACCCTGCACATCGAAAACAAATTCAGTAGAAACTTGTTTTGTCAGCACTTTAAGCCGGAACGATCTATAATAACATAAAAGGCTTCACAGAAAGAATAGGATTTTAGGACACATAACATAAGCAGGACATAAGTAGGTCATTCATCATTTTCATAGTGACATGAAAATTAAAAAAATTAGACAAGCACTTGATGAAAGACATATTAGAGTTGTTGAAGATAAGTGCAAGAGTATAAGTAGAGCAGAATCAAAAATCCGAAGCTATTTATCAGATCTAGATCTGGAAGCTGCAGGTATGAAGTTGAATTGCATTTGATAAGCTAAAAGTGCCAGGTTCTTTTACATCCATCCACAAAAAAAACAAGTTCCAGGTCTGCATCGAAAACATACAAGCAGAATGACAAGTCCAAATCCAAAAAAGAAAATCGTGACGCTCACTCCCCAGAGTCCATAGCTCGGTCCATAGGTAAGCTCATATATGTTACAATTCGAAATAGTTCGCTCTAGTTTTGTATTGTTGAAAGAACTTTTGGAAACATTCAAAGTTAAGTCACTTTATTCAGTAGCTATAGGGTCACTTGAGCCTGGGAACTTTTTCGAAACCAGTGAAAACCAACGAAATTTTTGTTTTGTGCTAGTTTCTGCTGGTTTCTGGTTTTCACTGGTTTCAAGCTGGTTTAGCTGGTTTCAACTAGTTTGGTGCTAGTTTACCTGGTTTCAGCTGGTTTCGAAAAAGTTCCCAGGCTCAAGTGACCTACTACTATTGTCAATGGAGCTTCCAGCACGACGTTTTCTCTTTGGGAAGGTGAACTATTATGGGAGCATGACTGTTATGATGCATACTACTTTATGAATTGTACTCTTGGATATATAATGAAGGTATTAAATTATCTGACAAGAATGGTCTGCTAATTGATCATCAAACATTCTCCAGCACTAAATTTGGTAGCAGTGATACCTGTTGAGCATTCCAACAAACCTCGAGATCCTGAAATCCAGAGAAACCACTTTGATACCGAAGAAGAAGGAGGTATTCTATTTGCCAGATCTTTCTCTTACATTTGCCAGTGTCAGTGTTTATAAAGTTTTATCCCTATCCTATCCTCATGTCCAGAAAGTTAAGAAGCAGAGTGCATAAATGCATGATCAAAATCATCAAGCCAATGGTCATAACAGAGGAGGCAGATGCTCCTCAAAAAATTAAATAGCTTATCTTAGCAGAAAGGTTAATAAAAAGATGTTATTCCAATTCCCAACATGATACAAGCCAATATCCCACAACTTTCAGCCAACAAGTTCTATGAAATAGAAATAGCTCGACAAGATATCCAGAAAGCAGCTTTTAACGTGAACAATAAATTCTACGGGTTTTTTAGAATGCATACCATTAGGACTTAAGGACAGCTCCAGCAACCTTCCAAAGAGTTATGTTCTTAGACGAAAAATCTACCTAGTATTCATGGACGATATTATTCTCTATTTTATCATCAATCAACTATCTTCTGGGTAGTTGAGTGATTGTATTCCTTATACATCCTCTTCTCCTAATGGGTGTTGTTCCTTAAAGATCCTGACTCCAAACTCAGCGTACTGAAACTGGGAGAAGTTGATCACGAAATAATTTACAAAGAAGGAGGAAGAAGGATAAAGAACACAAACATTTTGACTTTGCTTCCAGTTAACAATCAACCACAAGAAAATCCAGTTAACAAGGATAAGGCTATCAGACACGACCAACTAATCTTTTATTCTAACAAAGTAGAACAACTCCACATATCCAGGATTAAGCTTAAGTGAAGGATTTTTGCATCAATTTTTTTTAAGGCTGGGACTTAATTCAGAGTGAAACTATTTCTATGTATCAGTATTACCTTCGAGCGCATGATCATAAACGGTTCCGGTGGCAAGGACGACATGCTCCGCGAGTAAGGTCGCTGTTCGAGACTTAAAGGTAGCGGCGGAGGTATGCTTGTCCCTTGCCGTCCGGAACCTTCGAAGTCCAGCGGCGGAGATCCGGGAGTGACGAGGGGGGCCCCTGGCTCGTCCCAACGCACGGCGGCGATGGCGGCGGGCCCCCCTTCCCCATCGCCGCTTCCGCCGTCGCGGTCGCCCATCATCGATGGGGACGAATGGCCCAGGCTAGCCGTGCCGCAACCATAACTCGCTACTGGCCACGTTTGATACTCCGACGATGACCTGACTTGACGTCATGATTATCTGAGGGAAAAAAGAAAAAAATGTATAGTTAATTTGGCAATTAATACTAAGTAAATCAAAACAGATATTATGTTGAAAGAAATGTCAATCAAAACTTGCAACAGTTAACCTCCAGTTAACTACTACCATATTTTCATACAATTCAGTTGTGAATCCCTACTTTAGAAACTTAAGATGAGTTTTGTTTTGTTTTCCTTGGGGAGTACCCGAATCATTTAATCAAAGTAGGTAACGAAAATTTGAACAGGTTCAAGTGATGGAACTTCCACTTTTCCACAGATTCTTCTAATCCAAGTGATCAAAATACTTTGAATCAGAAGAAAATTTCTCTGATCCCAGAAAGTCCAATCAAATATAACCAAAGTAATTCAATGTATGCACCAGGCTCCAATCTCAAAATTAGACATAGTTATCATTACATTATAAAACTATTTTAGGTTTAAATAATCATCCATTTAAAATCACTCACTATAATTTATCATATAAGCTTTCAATTAATAAAAGAATGTTTAAAATATTGTGAGTCAGTATACGCACGGCATAATAATAATGACTGAGTTACTAGATCTGCAAACGGTAGCAGATTTATTAATTGAAATTGGTACATTAACCTTAAGTTAATGCGTCACATTGTTAGTATAAATAGCTACAGTTTTTAAATAATAAAATCAGTATTAAACTACATCGTTTTAACTCAACCCCAAACTATTACAGCCACAGGTCATCAAGCAGGAAGTTATCTAAGGAAAACTTCGCTTAAGGAAAATATACCAAAAGGGTACTATTTCTTCATGGTCCTTCAACCAAACAGACAACCGCTACGACCGACTATAGCTGCAGGGTGTCGTGTCATATCTATCCTACAAGCCATCTTTTGTAGATCCAGAACTATTATTTTGTACAGCAAGACTAATTCAGACTCCTGAAAAAAATCGACTGACCCACAAAATTTAAAAATACTATGCTTCCTTAATCAGAACTTAACCAGTATCAATTTCAACTATTGATATTGATACATAAATCAGTATAATACTGTTTATTTTCCTCCTTCGTTTTGATTTGATTCTTGTATCCAGCAATCAACAACAAGCAATGCAATATCTCCTTGCGAAAAATCAAGCTACCAATTTTTGATTGGCGCTACGAGGAATGGACAACATTTCGGGATATTTTCACGAAAGTAGTTCATGAGAACAGTACACTGACAGATATAGAAAAAAAGCAATATTTGAAAATTCATGTTAAGGGAGAAGCAAGCCGTATCATGCAACATCTTCAGATAACACGCAACAATTACAATACGTGTGCTGGGACATCCTCACAGATCGATAGAGTAAAGACAGGTTGCTTGTAACTAAACTGATTATTAGGATTCTTGACATTCCTGTCATCCAACATAAATCAACTTTCAAATTAAAACAACTATATGATACAGTTAAAAAAATGTTCGGAAGCACTTATGGCCGTTTCCATCAACTATTTTAGGGAAGCCCTAACGATAAGTATTCCCTAAACTGACATTTCTCCATGGAAAACTGTCAGTTTAGGGAATACTTATCGTTAAGGCTTCCCTGAAATAGTTGGTGGAAACGGCCATTAATGATATAAAAATAGATACTATGGCATGGGGCCCAATGATCAACATTCTGCTGAGTCGGAAATGAGATGCTGTAACAAATAGGCTCTACGAACAATCGTTAGACGAGCCCCATAAAATACAAGATACAAACAAGCTGCTAAAATTTCTACGAACGAGATTCCAGTCACTTGAAACTGTGACAGATCTAACAAAGAAGAAGCCTGAAAGTACTCACTCAAGCAAAAACATCTATCCATGTGCGAACTGCAAAGAAGCACATGCATTGTATGCATATCCGAAATTTCAAGCAATGACACGAGCAGCAAGATTTAAATTTGTAAGAGACAAAAGGGTGAGTGTTAATTGTCTAAGTCACGAAGCCAATATAAAATGCTACTCTTCGTATAGGTATCATATCATACGTGCAGTAAATACCACCACACTGTGGTTCATGATGTTGATAACTTTCAACAAGAATATATAATCAGGCAAGAAGAAATAATCCAGGATCACGAGGTTCAAATGTACGGCAACAGCATGTAACAAACAACTTAGGCAGACAGAATGGAATGGTTTTTCTAGCAACAGCGATGGTTGGAATTCCAAATGTACATGGCGTGTACTTATTGATCCTGGATCCCAATCCACACTAATGATGGAAGAAGTGGCCGGTTTACTAGCACTTCATAGGAAGAGAATTCAAGCTGGCATTAGTGGCTTAGGGGCAACAAAACCACAAAATGTAAAATGGATGGTAGAAGCAATAATTAAACCTCGGTTTTCCAGTAACTATTCGCTGCAAGTACCATGTATAATTCTGCCTAGGTTGACTCCCGTCCTACCTAACAAACAATTGGATGTAGACCAGAGTTCCTGGAAAAATGATATCCTCGCCGATCCCACATTTTACCAGCCTGGATGGAATGTTGGGTCAAAACACGGAGCTTGGATGGATACTATCTGGCACACGGAATGCACAAGAAAAAGTGTTTGGAAATCACGTATTTCAAATTCCTATTAAAATTAAATTTATTCTCTGAAAATAAAGAAATTTATAAAATTCTGCAAACTACGCAGTGTCCTAAAGGTACAAGTTAAAACGTGTTAAAACCACACTAATTGACATGATGATGCAACCTTTATCTCCAGATAAGCAGAGAAAAACAGACTCCAGTAAGGGCGGAATGGTACTGCATTTCAGTGATCGAGAAGGGTTGTTGCCGTTTGCGGAACTTTAAATACTCAGTTTCGTGTTTCTCGCACAAAATCAGTAAATTAATTTATTGTGGTACAAAATTGCCAGTTGACTGAGTGTTAATCCCTCGGTTAAGCCTCTAGAGAATTATTCCAGGCTTTTACTCACATTCTTATAGTTCTCTGACTTCCATATTAGATATATTTTTCTTTGAAGTCTTCAATCAAGTTCCTGCTCTAACGACAAGTTTGTTCTGGTCTCTACAAGACAAGTAAAGTGTAGTTTTCTTTGCAATCACTGATTTTTTTTTGACATTTGTCCCTTTTGTGAATTGTAAAGTTTGTTACAAAATTTATTATCATTAAAGTTATTACTATTAGTGAATAAGTGTAAGTGTTTTCTTCCTATATACTCCTTTCTTGGTTTCTTGGCTATAGGCCAAGTGGTCCTTCGAATTATTGTCCTTACAAGAAATTAGCCCTATGGATAAATCCTGACTGTTCAGGTGTGGCATTCAATGGTTTTGTTGCCATTGGCTATAATGGATGAAGAGGAAAAATAAAAACTATCCTGTTTATACAAAAAGCAAAAATACAGATATATGGGTTGAGAACACTGATTGAGGAAGATCAGCAACTCATGGAGTTTTGAGAATTAGAAGAAGTTCACCAAGAAGAACAACTCTGTGAAGAGCACTTCAATATAAACATAACGAGAAACTGAGACGGTACTTACACGGTCCGGATACCATTCAATGCGGCCATCAAAATTTGCTGGGTAATTCCAAATCACGAGCAGCAGCCAGACTATTTCAACTTGAAAAAATGTTTGCAAAAGAACAAGAACTATCCACTAGCTACAAGAAGTTCCTTCACGAATATTACGACAGTAACTCACATGACTGCGGTTTCGGCCCACGAAACAATAAACAAATACTATATCTTGGTTTTTACTCAATCCCAAACCACTACAGCCACAGGTCATCAAGCAGGAAGTTAACTAAGGAAAACTTCCCTCAAGGAAAATACACCAAAAGGGTATTATTTCAGCGGTGATACTTTTGCTATCAAAATCATCTGAAATATTCTCTTTTGGACATATCAAATAAGTTTAAGTTAGACTTACACTACTCCTTTTTCACTTGTAGTTCAGAAAATTAAAGTTCAATTTCTGAGAAGGAAACGTGTATTTCAGACTAGGAAATTGTATTTCAGAAAAGAGAAGTTCACTCATAGATATTTACCAATTCTGAATTAAGTACATGAATGTTACCAATTCTGAATTACATTTCCCTACTTCTGATTTTTAAAATTGCATATCTGAATTACAAATTATATTTTCTGAAATATAATTTTTCTTTCTCAAATACATTTTATGCTTTCTGAATTAAAATCGTAAAAAGTGTAGTCACTAGAAAATGGGAAAACCCTAGGAAAAGTGCAAAGACTGGCGTGTCTCTGTATTACAGGAGCAATGAGATCATGTCCAACTGCGGCACTAGAGGTCATGGTCGACCTCACACCACTTCACATAATAGTGAAGCGGGTTGCCAGTGGATCACACCTCAGACTGGCGAAGATCGGAATCCAAGGAAAATCGCATTCTGGTAGAGATTTTCCTCTTCCAAACTGTTCACACCTTATGGATCTACCAAAAGATGAAACTATCAAGAAATATAGCTTTTTTCCATCGAACTAAGCACGAAAAACGAATGGAACATAGAATCTCTCCAATCCCTGAAAGCAAACACCATCAAATGGTACACAGACGGTTCCAAAACAGCTGAGGGAACTGGATCAGGAGTATTCGGGCCACGGACTAGATACTCGGAGCCTATGGGCAAGTCACCAAGCATTTTCCAAGCGGAATTGCATGCGATCGGAAGATGCGTGCAATTCAATCTAAACAAAAGATACTGGAAACGAGAAATTACGATAATGTCTGACAGCCAGGCAGCTATCAAAGTATTGAGCTCACCAGTCATCAATTCTAAGATAGTATGGGAATGTCTACAGAAACTCAACGAGTTAGGAAAAGAAAACAAAGCAACTCTTCTCTGGGTGTCTAGGCACATGGGAGTTGAGGGCAACGATTGCGCAGATGCACTCGCAAGAACGGGAGCTTCACTGGGCCAGAACCATTTTGCGGTCTCGGCAATAGGCACTTCTAGGGAATCCTCAAAAAGAAAGAAAACCGGCTAAGAAACAAACACTGGCTAGAACAGCC